GCTGCAGCAACGCAAAAGGCAGGAGACATGGGACAAACAGCCGTTGAGCATTTTGCCATCCCCACCGTCAACGGCAAGCCTCCGGTCAGGCGAGAGTCCCGGTTCGACCGACCGACTGCCAGTTCGGCTGGTGACAATTTTGGGAACTGGCTGGGACACCAGGCTGACTGCTCGGGTAGGGCAGGGGTTCCGGACAGAAGAGTTTCCTGTGTAAGGATGAGCAACGGACCTGCAAATAAAAATCATAACAACTATTTTTACGAAGACGAAGACTTATATGAGGAATATGATAGACAGGAAATAGAAGCTTTAAAGTTCGGCAAAGGCAAGAGTGGAACTCGATCTTTGTATAACTCATACATGGATAGAGTGGACAAGACGCCATCTGAGTCTGATGGATCAAATGATGAGATTGACTAAATTGTACCGGTGAATAAGTGAGCTTTTCCTCGTTGTACATTTTTGCCTGCATTCACATATGTTCATTCCAGTATCTATTTTTCTGGGACATTGTGAGTGTATTTAAGGCGTTGTCTATTATTGTACGCCCATTTACGTGTGTTTTGTTGGCTTTCATTACCACCAGACCTTATCTAGGCGCCATGACTCTCCTGAAACCCATATGCTCTTTTTCAGCGGCATGCTTTGTGATCGATATCCAAGATTCTTAGTAGAACAGGCCAAAATGCATCTATTTTTTCTGATACGAGCTGTTTTGTTATTACTACTAATGGCTCTACCGATAGGCCTATACTTTAGATTTAACTTAACCCATTTCAAAATACTTGTATACTGTGATTTATTTCGAGTATGGTTCATCCAATAAGCAGAGTGCTCTCGTTTCGAGCCCCTATCCGAATGCGCTTTTATACTCTAAAATGGTTGGCACAAGTTAACATATTTACCGCTTTAGGGAACTAAGACACTTCTATAGGAATACTTAGATCTAATTCGTAAGGTCATTCGTACTTTTGTCTGTAAAAATGTTATCAAAGGTTTTTGAATAGCTTTTCTATCAGAAATAAAATTATTTGACTTCGCTTCTAGTTAGTACCTCTTGCCAATAGATTGAATTGAATTGAATTGCATTTTAATTTACTTTCCTCCTTATCAGCCTGATAACAAGTAATCAATTATAACTTTAGGGAACGACTATACTCAGTATTGCGTCTTAGTTAACGGAGACATA